TCCACGGGAGAAAGATGAGGCATTCTACTCCTGTAAAGATTTACACCCTCGGAAACCCTGTGCAGGGTCGCTATGGGTCGGAACCGACTCGACAGCACATAACAACAACAATACTACAGATGTTCCATGGGAAAAAGATGAGGCTTTCTGCTCTAGTGTAGATTTGCAGCTTCCGAAACCCTGTGCAGGGTTGCTATGAGTCGGAACCAACTCCACAGTGCTTAATAAACAATATACTACTCGGGCTTCAAAAATTTTTGTGGAGAACTGGAATTATTTCATTTTTCCATGAACTCTCTGAAGCCCCCTTGTATATATTATAAGCATGTGATATTATGTATATGTGTCTTTTGGGGAGCTTGGTATCACTGGACAGAACCACAAGGTCTGCAGTTCAAACCCACCAGCAGCTCTGTGGGAGAAAGATGAGGCTTTCTGCTCTTGAGAAGATTTACAACCTCAGAGACCCTATACAGGGTCTTTATGAGTTGGGACTGACTGGCTAGCACTTAAAAACAGTTACATATAGACCTTTGTATCCCTGTTACTACTGTACACCCAAGGGCGTGCAGCGGCGTGCTGGGTGGGTGAGGATAAGGACTTTGGAGTCAGACTGATGGAGATCAGAGCCTCCTGCTCCCATTTTTTAGCTGTTTACTGGTGGGGAGATGATGTAATCTCATTGTATTTGTTCCCACTGGAAAATACTGTTAGGTGCCTTCCACTTGTTCCAACTCACAGTGACCCTGTGTATGACAGAACCAAACGTTGCCTGTCCTCCGCCACCCTCCATGCTGTCCTTGAATCCCGTGCTGCAGTCAGGGAATCTTCCTCTTTGTCACTGACCAACTTTCCCAAGCCTGAGGTCCCCCCTCCCAGCGACGGGTCCCTTCTGAGACCATGTCCACCCTCACTTGTAAGGAACATTCTGACTGTCCTTCCTCCAACACAGCTTAGTAACACAGTGCTCACCTCCTAGTTGGTTGAGATAGTACTCACCTCTTAGATGGTTGAGATGACTACATGAGAAAACCAGCCTCTGATATCCAGCTAGGACACAGTGTGTTCCTGCTAAACAAAAAACAATCTCACTGAACATCATCTCCAGACTAGGCTCCGAGGACAGGACTAAACAAGACCCTTCTGTCATGGTGTGGGAACACACGCAGCCTGGTTGTGGTGTCGTTAGGTGCAGTTCAGTTGGCACTGTCCCGTCCGGCGTCCTCCTCACCTTTGTTGTATTTGAGCCCATCGCTGCCGCCACTGTACCAGTCTGTCTCATTGGGGGTCTTCCTCTTTTTCACTCACCGTCCACTTTACCAAGCACGATGTCCTTCCCCAGGGACTGACTGATCCCTCCTGACAACACCTCCAAAGTAGGAAAAACAAAGTCTCCCCATCCTGGCTTCTATGGAACATTCTGGCTGGACTTCTTACAAGGTAGACTTGCTCACTCTTCTGGTAACCCATGGTACTTTGCACTATTCCTTGCCAACATCGTAATTCCAAGGCATTAGGTCTTCTTTGGCCTTCCTTATTCAGTGTCCAGCTTTCACATACATATATGGCCGAGGAAAGTATCATGGCTTGGGTCAGGCACACCTTAGACTTCAGAGTGACATCTTTGTCCTTTAATACTTGAAAGAGGCTTTTTCAGCACGTTTGTCCAGTGCAGTTCACCATTTGATTTCTCCACTGCTGCTTCCATGAGCACTGGGTGTGGATCCAAGAAAGTGAACTACTTGACAACTTCCGTTTTTTTCCTCCTTTTATCAGGAGACTGTTTTCGGGTCCAGTTGTGAGGGGTTTTGTTGTCGTTTCACTGGGCTATCATCCATGTTGAAGGCTGTAGCCTTCCTCTTCATTAGTAAGTGCTTCAAGTCGTCTGTGCTTTCAGCAAGTAAGGTTGTATCATCTGCATATCACAGGTGGTTAATGAGTCTTCTCCAATCTTTATGCCACATTCTTCTTCAGATAATCCAGCTTCTCAGAGTATTTGCTCAGCGTACAGATTGAATAAGTATGGTGAAAGGATACAGCCCTGATGCCCACCTTTCAGTCTCTCCTTGTTCTGTTCCAATGACTGCCTCTTGTTCTCTGGACAGGTTCCACATGAACACAGTGAAGTGTTCTGAAATTCCCATTGTCGCAATGTTATCCATAGATTGTTACAAACCACACAGTCAAATGCCTTTGCACAGTCAATAAAACACAAGTAAACATCTTCCTGGTATTTTCTGCTTTCAGCTAAGCTCCATCTGACCTCAGCCGTGACGTCCCTCATTCCATGGCCTCTTCTGAATCCAGCTTGAATTTCTGGCTGCTCCTTGTCAGGCTCTTTTGAAATTATCTTCAAAGTTTTACTTGTGTGTGATGTTGATAAAATTGTTTGATCATTTCCACATTCTTTAGAGCCATGTGGCTTTGGAAGGGGCACAAATATGGAGCTCTTTTTGTTGGTTGGCCAGGTAGCGGTCTTCCAAATTTCTTGGCCTGGATTTCGTGAGTGCCTTCGGTGCTGCATCAGTTTGCTGAACGATTTCGGTTGGTATTCCATCAGTTCTGGAGCTTTGTTTTTCACTAATGCCTTTAGGTCAGCTTGGTTTTCTTCCTTCAATACCATTTGTTCTGGATCATATGCTGCCTCCTGAAACGGTTCACCAACAACCAATTCTTGTTGGTGCAGTGACTGTATATTCCGCCCATCTTTTGATGTTACCTGCACCATTCAATATTTTGTCCTGGTGTGGCACTGTGGGTTAACGCGCTGGACTGCAAAGTCGGGTTGAACCCAAGGTTGGCGGTTCAAGCTCCCGCCACTCCTTGGAAACCCTATGCAACATTGTTATGGGTCGGACCTGACTCAAAGGCACTTAGCAACAACATTGTCATTGTTATTATTGAATGCTTTAAAGTTGGTTCTGACTCAGCAACCTTGTATAGGGTCTCCAAGGAGCAGCTGGTGGCTTTGAACCATCGACTCTGTGATTAGCAGTCCAGTGCTTAGCCTATAGTGCCATACCACAACCCATAGAATCCTTAAACATTGCAACTTGAGGCTTGAAGTTTCTCCTCAGTTCTCTCAACTTGAGAAATGCTGAGTAGTTCTTCCTTTTTGGTTTTCGAACTTGATCCAAGTCTTAGCATATTTCATTATAATATTTTATGTGATTTCTCGAGCCTTCCTTTAGAATTTTCTGTTCAGCTCCTGTACGTCATCATTTCTTCCATTCACTTTAGCTTCCCGATGTTCAAGAGCAGCCTGAGTCTCTTCAGACATGCAGTTTGGTCTTTTCTTTCTTTCCTGCCTTTTTAATGTCTTGTTTTCTTCCTGTATGATGTTCTTGATGTCATTTCACAGCTCCTCTGGTCTTGGGTCGTCAGTGTCTAATGCATCCAATCTGTTCTTGAGATGGTCTCTAAATTCAAAGTCCTATTTTGGTGCTCATGGACTTAGTTTTCATTTTCTTCAGCTTCAGTCTGACCTTATATGTGAGAGTTTGGTGGTCTGTTCCACAGTCAGCTCTTCACCATGTTTTGGCTGATGATCTTTTTTTTTTTTTTAATGTTTTATTGTGAATTATGTGATCGCTTACATGGGAGAACATTAGCTTTACATTCATCCTATCGTAGATCGTTTCATTGCTATGGTTACAATCCCCGCCATGCATCATCAACCAACCAAAGGGTATATATACCCTACAAGCCTGTCCCCTGGTCGTCAGCACACAGCCCCTCTCCCTCTCTGGGTCTA